CTGCCCCCCCCTGGCGGGTGGGGAGCGAGCCCCCTTCACAGCCGAGCGGGCAGCAGCGCGCGGCACCTTTCAGCAGATGCCCGGCCCAGGGAGCCCAGTGCGGGTTGGAAGCAGGTGGAGCCCCCCGGAGCCATGCAGGCCGTGCTCGTGGGAGAGCGCAGGCGCTGGGAAATACTCCTAGCGCAAAGTGTAGAGAACGTGCGTGAGCTCAGCACAGGGCTCGAAACCCCTTTTCTTCAGAGTTCAGTGAACCCAGGTCAGCGTGAACTCCGTCCGTGTCCCGCGAGGGAGGCCAGGCCGCCAATGCCAAACAGGCTGGGGCCCTCTAGAGACGCACCCACCCCCAGATCAGAGCTGGGGACCTGGCTCCCGCCTCGTCCCGGCCGCCGGAGCAGTTCAGGAATCGCTGTTCCTTCATCACCCGGGAACCCCTGCAAGCAAACCCGCGCGCCCTGCCCGGCTGCTGAGGCACTGGCTGGTCCTCCGCTCACAAGTCACTCCAGATGGGGCCGTCCCGCACCTTGCAATGCCTGGCAGGGCCAGCCAGTGGTGGCTGCTGTTGGTTACACAACAAGCATGAGTTCAGCTGCCTGGTGGCTCCGTTGCGTGATGCCCTGTCCTGCTTACACTTGGCACCGGCGCTGCCCAGAGAAGTCTCTGCGGGGCTGCCGTGCTGGTCTGTATCTGCAAAGCCAGCGCAGAGTCCTTGGTGCTGCCCAGGGCTCAGAGTGTGGACGTTCCCGCGGCAGACTCCTCTGCTCTGCGCTGTGTGAGAAGCAGCGGCAGACGGAAAGGCCTGGGCTCCGCCCAAGGCCGGAAGAGAAGCGTCCGTGTCCCCGGCATTTGCTGCCTGTCTGGCGTGTCAAGCATTGTGGGCTCCTCGGGGTTTTAAATGTCGCTGGAGCAGCCGACGGGCTGGAGGATCCCAACACCTGCCATGTGATGGGGGACACTGACCATTCATAAAGTCTGGCCCATGCTAGGGGCCTGGAGCTGAGGCAGGGAGACCTGCGTGTCCCATCTCAGTGACATGGGGACAGAGGAAAACGGACTTTGGGGCAGAAATGGAGCAGATGAAGCCCCCTGAACCCTTGGGCCTGGCCAGGAAGGGTGGCGCTCCCAGATTGCCCTGTGAGGAGGTGGAATTGAAGAGAAACCAGAGGGTGAAATCTTCCCCCGTGCAGAGACGGGGAAGATCAAACGTGGACTCCAGGGGGCAAACAGCTGGCGCCTTTCCCAGCATCAAGGGATCTCGATGAGACCATCCCGGGGAAAGCCCGTTTTCTCCACAAGGAACCCACGGCCAATCGATCCCTGTGGCCCTGAGGCCACGATCTGTCTCCGCGGAGCCACACATCTGGTACCAGCCAGAGGACTCAGGCTAAGTGGTTTGTGGGGCTGGCCGGGCAGGGTGGTTGCACAGGCCCCCGCGATAGGCCGACTCGGGGTTGGATTCTGAAATGGACGAGGAGGCAAGGCTGGGCTGGAATCGGCGTATTGCGACCCGGCGTTTCCCCTTTTCCTTGTCTCCATCCAGTATCTGCCCAGCAGAGAGCCTGGCTTGAGGAGCCGTAGCGGAGGTCAGCAAGACAGGAAAAGCTGGCCCTCATGCGCCGTGGCCCCCTTTCTGCAAGCTGCTCCATGCTGCCCTGGCCAAGAGAGCTTTGCTTTGCACGGGGCACGTCACAAGCGGAAATCGCGCTGCTTTCCTGCAGGCGGGAAGTTTCTCATGGGCCTTCTCTTTGGCTGTTTCCCGCCTTGCCTGTGATCCGGTGCCCAAGAACAGGAATGTCGTGCAGCTGGCCCTCATGCGCCGTGGCCCCCTTTCTGCAAGCTGCTCCATGCTGCCCTGGCCAAGAGAGCTTTGCTTTGCACGGGGCACGTCACAAGCGGAAATCGCGCTGCTTTCCTGCAGGCGGGAAGTTTCTCATGGGCCTTCTCTTTGGCTGTTTCCCGCCTTGCCTGTGATCCGGTGCCCAAGAACAGGAATGTCGTGCTTCTCACAATGCCTTGGTCTGTAACAGGGCTCTGCCCTCTGCCGGGGCCTCACACACATGGATATGGGTGGCTTGGGCTACACGTTTCACGATGCTGGTGCAAGGCTGGTGCAAGGTTGTGGAATCTCCATCCCTGGAGATATTTCAGAGCAGGCTGGACAGACGCCTGTCAGGGATGGTCTCGACGGAGCTGGGCCCTGCCTGAGGCCTCTCCAGGTCCCTTCCAGTTCCAGTGCTCTGGGATTCTGCGATTTGAAGGCCCAGCCTGACAGCCAGGCGCAGCGAAGTGCGTGCTCTGTCCTCCACAGCCCGGTGCAAGCCTCCCCCTCGGGCACACCAGCGTGCGGCGCTCATTTCCCATGGCACAGCCGGTCTGTGTGCACTCCCGGCTCTGCCAAGCGGCACCGGTGGGGGTGTACTGGCTGGGGGGGTGTCTTGCCCCTAAGAGCTAGGCTGAGGGAGACAATTCACTTCACGTAGCCAGTAGATGTTGGGGGGCCAAATTCTGAGCAGCCAGCTGATTTCAGAAGGTGCCAGTCCCCCGGGATTTGCCAGGGACCCTCTGAGGGAGGGGCTTTGGGTCACGAGGGAGGGTGCGTTAAGCAAGAACCCCTGGAGTCCCCTTCTTGGCTCTGCCACCGATTGGCTGTGTAGCCTTGGACAAGTCACTTCCTCTTTGTGTGCTTTGGTTTCCTCCTCTGTAAAATGGGCTCCGTGAGCCGTGCTTAGCTTCCTGGTGCTCGTGAGAATGGGCACGGGGCTGTGCCAGGCCAGGTGTCGCGGTGGGGGAGGCTCTGCTCCGTGTCCTTTCACTTACGGAGATGAAGCCGACCGTAAGGCTCTATGGGGAGTGGGGCCTTCTCAGTCTTCACCCCAGGTGACGGGATTCTCTGCCCCGGGGCATTCGCCTGGCATGGCACGCACCCGCGGGGGAGGGGGCCTTCGCCCAGGTTTGCTGCGGCCGCCTTGGTGCAGCACTCGGGCTCGGGGGAGCCGTCGCTGCGC